TGCTGCCATGTACAAACTCAGGTATTTATGTACATACTGTTTTTGCTTATGTCTCTAAGTCATATTTAGAAATACTCACTGTAAGATAAGCTTAAAGCATTTTGGTTTTTAAGTGTCAACAACATTATGGTTTGTTTCTAAGAGCCCTCTTCATTTTGAAACCATATCCTCTGTTTCTTCATTTTCTCTAAAAACCACACAGATGATGAAATAAAGAGAAGTCTGCTAGGAGATGCTTACAATGAGTTAGTCTAAATGCTATTTATTGAATGATAAATGCAAAGCAGTGGCATTGTCTGCAAGTAACTCTGTGAGCTAATTCTTGTCTACCGGAACTGATGGGCCATGTGGGAACAGGAACCATTCTCCAACCAGTGGGAGGAGCCCCAGCTGAACTGTTATGGTTTGGATCTGGAATGTCTACCAAAGTCTATTGTTCAGAGGTGGGGCTTTTTTGGAAATGACTGGATCATGGGGGTTCTGGCCTCAATAGTTGATTAATCCATTAATTCAATGACTCCTGGGAGGTAGGACCTAGTTAGAGGGAGCAGGTCACTGGAGTCATGCCCTGCAAGGATATATCTTCTCCCTAGCCCCTTCCTCTCATTATTTCTCTCTCATGTGGAACTATAATTTTCTATGGTTCCCACTATCCTCAGGTGCTAAACATCTAGCTTTCAGTCACCTTCTCTAGATAGCACAAAATTTCAACCTAATGTTAATTTTCAAGTTGTCTGAATATCTCTTCTGATGATGTTTCTATCATGCTTATCCACCAACACTATATGTGTGTGGGGTTCTTTCCTTGAATACTAGACTGACTGTCCATCGGATGGTCCTGGCCTCTATGTATCTTTTTATGGGTAAAAAGAATCAAAGGACTTGCTATATTTGTTGTTGCTGATACATTAAAAGTTACCTATTTCTTAAGCCTTACAATGTAATATTGTGAAACTTATCCCGAGCTCTGGTGAACCTCAGATGACCACCATAGAGACTCATCTTGCACAACACACCTATTGATGATAATCAAAACTTTGTGTACCTGGAGTACCCTGTCATTAATTAGCTTTGAGACATTTCATATAAGTGCTCTATCTCAGTTTGTATTACTTGTAATCTGGTTTGACATTCATATTTTGTGTTGGATAAAATATCCTCCATGTATGTCTGTTAACTTGTGCATTTTCCTCCCAATCCATCTGTTACTCTATTCACATCACTTCTTGTCCGGCTAAAATTCCATGATATATTTTTCTTTTCTTTTTATTATTTGGTACCAAGGACCAAACCCAGGAGTGATTAACCACTGAGCCACAGCCCTGGTCCTTTTTTTTTTTTTTTTATTTTGAGACAAGATCTTGCTAAATTGCTGAGGGTCTCGCTAAGTTGCTGAAGCTAGCCTTGAACTTGTGATCCTCCTGCCTCAGCCTCCTGAGTCACTAGGATTATAGACATGTGCTGCTGTGTCCAGCCTGTCTGATGTATTTTTCAAAAATGCTTTTGCCAGGACCCTAAACTCCCTTCCAATTCTGTCCATTTTATGTGGCATCTTCTAAGGACTGCAACTGTAAATAATAAACTGTGCCATGAGCAAACAAGCACTTCTGGAGAGAGAGCCTCCATGGGGCATATCGATTTCACAAAACAATACTTAAAACAATAGATCTCAATAGCATGTAGGAATCCTGTAATGATTTTCAGTCAATAATATTTATTTCAAGCCTCCTCAAATTTTCCTCTTATTCCCTGTGATTCTCAGAAGATGGTCTTGACTGTTCCAGAGGAAAGTGGAAGCCATTAAATGGGAACTCAATCACCAGTCCTGTTTGCGCAAAAAGATGGGGACAAACACAAACTTCACAAATCAGCTCAGTGCTTTATTCAGGAACAAAGTTTCACACAGGAGAAGGGGGTGCAGAGAAGAAAGGAGGAGTGTGGGACCCACTTTCCTGGTGGAAAATGAGGCCCCTATCAAAGAAAGGGCTTGGGCTTATATAGGTTATTTTCTGAGAGGTAATCTAATGAACATATCAATTTTCTTTGGGCACCCAGGAATTTCGAGTTTGTTCTATCAATCAGTGAAGGGGTCAGTTTTAGTGCTTAGGAATTTGGGGTCTGTTTTACGCAGTGAAATGGGAGGGAGTATAGGGTCAGTGATCAGTTTCTGGGATTTATCTTATTGGACCTGATGGAGGGCCTGGGGTCAGTGGTTGGTATCTGGAAAGGATTTGTTTACAGAAGGATTAATGCTTTGGCCTCTTCCCAGAGACTACCTTTCCAGGTTTGATGGACACCTCTTCCCCAGGGTTTGTTTTATCATCGGGAAAGAATATATTGGGAAAGGATCAATGCTCTCAATGTATGGCTTTCCTTCTCACTCCCCCTTTCCCCAGGACTCACTACTTTTGGGGTTTGTCATTTTCCATATCTAATAAGTCCCATTTCCAAAACACAGCCTTAACTGCATCTCTATCCACTGTTCTATTTTCCTTCTTTTACCATAGAGGTATAACTATTTCTCTTAAGGCCAAATATTCCTCTTTTATTTTTTCTGCTTCCGCCTTCTCAGCAATCTTAAATTATAGATGGTCTTTTCTCTAATCTGAATGCTCAAACTCTTTTTCAATTAGAGCTTTTAAAAACAGGCTCAAATTTTCCCCAATTAAGACAAAGAACTGGAAAGAGAAAGAAAATTCTCATTTGAGTCCCTCATTCCTTTCTAGCTACTGTCCTACTTCTTCCTCTTTTCAGAGAAAAAAAAATTCAAAGGTGTGTCTGTATATCTACTGTTTCTATTTCTCCCCCTAGTCATTTCTTTTTTTAAAAAAATGATTTAAAATTTGTATTTTTATTTTTTTTTTCCTTTTTAACTCTTCCCCCCACATCTTTTTTTGGTGTATTATAGTTATACATAATGGAGGGATTTGTCCCCCTACGAGTTTCTGAACCTCTCTAATCTAACCTCTGCCTTCATGGCTCTGTCTCTACCTTTGATTTTTTTACCTGCTGCACTATTGGCATTTTAGGTTAGCTAAATAAATTAGTTAACTTAAAATGCCAACAGTGCAATGTAAGCACTATGTAAGTAGCTAGTATAATACACACACACGTGTGTGTGTGTGTGTGTATTTTTTTTCTTTTTGAGTGAGGACTATATTGTGCTTTAGGATACTTAGATGCCAGTAGAAGTCTACTGCTCCAGTAGCCTATCCCTGCCCTTCTGACATTGCCAAATGATCATTGTGGGGCAAAATCTCCCCCCAATTGAAAACCACTGCTCTGTCTCCACAGCTTCTGCTGAGGTCACTGGTGATTTCCACAGCGTTAAATCCCATTTTCCATCTTACTTTGTGTCTCCTGTCATCTGACATTGCTAACCTCTCCCTTCTTGTCTCCAATTGACTTATTGTTCTCTTAAGTTTCCTCTTCTTGGATAGTTTTCTTTCTCTCTTAAAAATCTCCTTTGCAGGTTCATCCTCTGCCAATTGACATTGAAATGTTGGAATTCTCTTCTAATTATTCTTTTTCTGGTAAGGCTTTAGCTTTCATCTTGATACTTCTGCTTCCAAACATGATGAACTGGCTCCAAAATGGTGAACAGACAAACTCTTCCCAACAATAGCAACAAAGAAAAATAAAAACAATAGTTTATACATATCTTGTGAGCCTTTATATCCATTTCATAACCTTACTCTTCTCTCTCTCTCTCTCTCTCTCTCTCTCTCTCTCTCTCTCTGTAGTGATGGTGGTGCTGGGGATGAAACCCAGGGCCTCATTCATGCTAGGCAAGTACTCTACTATTGAACTACTAAGCTATAACACCAACTCAACCTTCTCTTTTAGAAAGAGAGAGAGAAAAAATGTGTGGCTAATCTACATTTTAAAGTGGAAAATTAATTATTAATCAGAAAAATACAGATTAAAACAATATTTCTTAAACTGTCTTTAGAAGGGAGGACCTGAATGATCTTCCTCAGCCCTCCTCTGTCTACCCTCCACAGGCTCACTCATCAACTCTACCATCCTCCTGCTCCTGGCAGCTAGCATTGGTCCAAGCTTTAGTCCACCATGCTCCACCACAAACCTTCTCTACCTATTGGCCCCGCCTAAGAATGCTCCTCTCACCCTTGCCTACCTAACTCATCCTTCAGCTACCCATTCAGGGAGGATTTCTTTGACCTTTTCCTATTGTGGAGGTGTAAAGGCTTGGTACAGCTCCTTAATGCTATGTGGCACAGTAGTGGTTTTATTTGTGTGAATCATGAGGTGGTGAAGCAGAGTGGATTGATTAAGTTCAGGGATTTGGAGCCAAGGTTGCTTGGCTTAGACTCCTGGCTCTTAACTTCTTGATGCTTCAATTTCCTCATCTTTAAAATGGGGCTTGTATTTTCTCTGATATAAGATGACTGACTCATAGTGGGGTAGGGAGGGGGAGCATGGGAGGAACAGAGGAACTCTAGATAGGGCAGATGGGTGGGAGGGGAAGGGAGGGGGTTAGCAATGATGGTGGAATGTGATGGACATCATTATCCAAAGTACATGTATGCAAACATAAATTGGTGTGAACATACTTTATATACAGAGATATGAAAAATTGTGATTTATATGTGTAAAAAGAATTGTAGTGCATTCTGCTATCACGTATCTAAAAATAAAATCAATTTAAAAAATAAAATGGGGGTTGTAGTAGGACAGTCTACCTTAAAGGGCTGTTTGTTGGGTTTGTTGCAAGTCTTACATGATTGAGTATATACGCAATGCTTAGAACAGTGCCTGGAGCATGGTAAGCACTGTGTAAGTGCCAGATATATTTTAAGAGCAAGCACAGTAAGCACTATGTGAGTAACTCACTCAGGTGGGCGAGAAAGTGGGGCAGAAAGAACCTGCCAGAACTAGCTGAGGTGTTACGGTAGAAGTCTTGCCAATCAAAGGGCTGGAGGTGCCAAGCGCTTACCCCAGCAAGAGTCATTTCCTAAGTGCTAAGAAACTGGGAAAATCTGTAGTTAATTAAGCTGACTGACTGGATTCCTTTACTAATGGTAACCCACTGTGTAAGGCTGCAAACAGCACTATCTTTAGTATATATGTGGCCTGTTGCTTGAATGGGTTGCCCTAAGGGACCTTGGAGACAGTGCTTTCCAGTGGGATGTTTGTGTCTCTGGTCTCATGCTGTCCCCAATCTAGGCTCCATACAGGTGTGTGGGGTGCCTTTGGGGAATCCCAGGGCATGGTGGCCAGGGTTCACATTAGCTAAGTCATCCTGTACATCCACACCAAGTTGCAGAACAAGGAACATATATACGAGACCCTATGGGGCCAAGTTCAAGTTCCACAGCCACCAGAAGATCCACATTCTCAAATAAGTGGGACTTTACCAAATTTAATGCTGATGAATTTGAAGGCATGTTGGCTGAGAAGCGGCTTATTCCTGATGGCTGTGGGGTCAAATATAAACCCATTTGTGGTCCCATCGACAAGTGGTAGACCCTGCAGTCATGAGGGCTTCCATAGTATTTTCCCCTCCTTAACCACACTCACCAATAAATCCTGTATTATATCCAAACACACACACACACACAGAAGAAATGACAGACTTACCCAGTAATTACCAATAATAATGAAAAAACAGAAAGCTTTTCTAAATGAGCAATAGTAAAAAGAAAATGTATCATCCATGCTGAAGAAAAATTCCTATTTTCTTAAAATTTTTCTAGTAGAGAATTATGTAAAAAGACATTGTCATTTGAAGAGATGATTTAAAATACTAAGACAAAAACTGTAGAAAAAGTATTATAGAAATTTTTATACTATTGCTTCATCATATTTTTTTGAGTTATATGATGTTTGAGGAAATTATTATCCTTTTAAAATTGAAGTTGTTGAGATTTTTGTGCTCATATTAAATATTTACTTTCATGTCTATAATTTTTTATTCATAATGTTGTATTCATTTAAAAAAAGTTTTATCTCAAGTTACACATGCTTCAGGTTGAACAAAACTTGAATAAATCCCTGGGCTTAGTATTTTCTCCTTCTTTCTCTTTGTTTTTCTGCTTTTATCATAATTTCTTTTCATGGGCTGGTGTTGTAGCTCAGAAGCAAATCGCTTGCCTTGCACATGTAAGGTACTGGGTTTGATCCTCAGCACCACATAAAAATAAATAAACAAAATAAAGATAGTGTGTCCATCTATAACTAAGAAATTTTTTTTAAAATAATTTTTTTCATGATCTTAAAAATGGGACATACATTAATATGCCTGGGACATAAAGCAAAATATTGAACAAATATATGATTCAGTGTCTTAAACTTTAGAAAACAGCCTTATTAGGATTAATCCCTCCCTCCAGAAGTTATTATGCTGTTTTAGTTAGTAGATGCAACATATATTATCATTTTAAATCATAGTAAGAAAATTGGAGTCTGTCCATATAATTCTCAGTTGCTGGTACTATTCATATTGCCCATGATTCTTTTTAAAAACACTTCATTATGACCTAAAATTAGAATTTCTCCAAAACATGCAGTCCATTTTCGGTCAAGAGGAAAAATACAAAAATCTACAATTTCTAATTCAGTAGATTATTTTTGTACTAATTTCACCTATTTTATGCTACCATGAGATTTTTCTAAAAGAGAAACAATCAAGTCAATAGACATTTGGTTAGTATAAATAAAACCTTTCTAGTATATTTCACAGAAACTCTGAAAATGAGAGGTTTGAGTGATGGAGTAATAAACACTTGTAAGTCAAGTGGTTTCTAATTCATTGCTTTTATTGAAATTTAAGTTGGAGCTAAGTAGTTTATCATCCAAGTGGATCATTAAAAATAATTTTTTAATTGATTAATATGTGATCATTGACATTTAATTTAGGGGGTTGAAAGAAATCTATGATATTCTGACAAAAATTCTCTTCTGTGTATATACATACAAGCAAGAACAAAGTGTTTTAGTATTAAAAATGTAAATGGGAAAGTAGGAATAGCTAAATCCTGATTCATTCTAAAAATAAAGTAATATTAACCCATGGACAAACTTTTCTACCATCTGAAGCTATTTTAAAAATTAAAAGGCCGGCTTTGAAAGTTTATAAAGGATACAAGCAAGAATATTTGGAGACAACTAATCTAGACAAGTAACTGTGGAAGGCTTCATAAATCAATTATGTAAACCCTTAGAGGAGAGTGGCCATCTATTTTTAACTGTCCTGTTGGCCGACTTAGGGAGACAGCTGTGTCAGAGGGATGGACGCTGCCTGTGGGGTGTGGAAGAACACTGTGTTGGCTCAGTTATTTTTAGTGGTGAAATTTTTTTTTTCAATCCCTAATATTTACAAAAACATACCTGGGGTGAAGCCTGGGGTTTAATCCCCAGCACCAAAAATAGAATAAAATAAAATTAAAAGTTTATGGCTTGGGGTAGAAGTAGCTCCCATGAATGCTCCAGAATACAGAACATATATATTGACAGCAAGTCTAGTCTGTTTCCCTCAAAGCTGTCTTTTTGTTTGTTCAGGAATCTTTGTGCATTTATTGTCAGTAATTTGGAGCCACGGAGAGTGACAGTGTTGGATTCAGATTGCCTTGATACTGCGTTATGGAAAAGTCACCCTGCCAAGGGTGCGGGCCCACCAGCAGGAACTGAACTTGAGGATGGATAGCCAATCTCACCTCCCAGGTAGCTTCTGGTGAAAAGATGTCTGTACAAGCTCCAGCCTCATTGTTTCATTTCCAGTCCCCAATCACTTTCCCAGGGTTTGAATCTACTGGATCTCTCCAGAGGAGCAGGTTCAGTTTAGATTTTGGAGTCCAGTACTTTCTATTGCAGGAGTTCTGGATCCCTAAAGAGTACTCTTCAGTAACGAAATCTCTGAATTAATATGCAGCAACTTCTCCAGAATGGGTGTTTGCCCCCCAGGTGGGCTGGAATGGGGTGGATCCCATCAAACACTGCCTTTTAGATACAAAAAATATCAGTTTTCTTCCTCTCTGCCCAGTTTTGGGGCTCAGTGCTGGACTTATGATTTTGAGATGACTTTATTTCAGCAAGTTCATTGACTTTCATTGTGACTCCTTAAATTCATACAATCTAAGTTTTCTAACTCCAAATCTCGGAACATTTCCTTCACAGTTCTCAAGTTTCCTTAAGCAAAATTTCCCTTCCTAAGAGGCTGACTTTGTTAAGATAATGATGAATTTTCAACTGTTCTTCAAAGTCAAGGCTGTGTTAATCTTATCAAAGCATAACTAAGAAGTGCTTTTCTATTGAATTTGCACAGACAAAAATTAAGACTATATTTTATTTTCTTTTACTTGGAGAACACAGGAAAACCAAAATAATGCTTATAGGAATAAAATTAAACTGTGTCAGGGCACTGCTTTATCCAAGTAAAACTAGAGCCACTGTGAGATGGGACTAAGGGACCTGAGTTCTGTCTGTGTATTTCACATTCCCCGTTTTTTATCTCCCCTTCCCCACACCATCATGTCCAACTTATGGCAAAGTTCCTTTTGAAATATCTGTAGAGTCATTTAAAAATATATCATATTTCCCAGCCCTCTTCCTGAAACAATCTTCATTGTATTCAGCAAACAACCTTGTGTGTGTGTGTGTGTGTGTGTGTGTGTGTGTGTGTGTGTTACTGGTGATTGACCTCAGGGTGTCACATACTAGGCCAGACCTTCTTGCAAATCTTATTTTGAGACCATGTCTTGCTATGTTTCTCAGGCTGACCTCAAACTTGTGCCCTCCTGCCTCAACCTCCTAAGTCACATGCACCACTGTACCTGGCTCAAACTTATCCGTAAGTAATTATAGCGTCTTTCCTGTCACCAGTTTGTTCCCAGAGACCGCTCTTCTAGAACCCTCTTTTTGCTGCTATACCGAGAACTGATTACTCTCTAGGCTGCTCCAGGGTTGGCATGGGGAATTTCAACCTGGTTGGTTCCCCTGGGATAAATTCATGGAGCCCAGTTTGCAGATGTAATAGGATGGTAAATGAGATTTTCCTTCTAGCTCCAGAATTAGGAGATAAAGTACATGTGTGAGGTTCAGGGACACTTGGTTCTCCGTATTCTAAAGACAGCCACTAATTAGGCCTCATATCTATTTCCAGCAGTTGGGGGAGATTAGAAGTGTGGGATTTTTTTTTTTCCAGAGACAAAATTAATGAGGAGTGTAAACTGCCTTGGGAAGAGTGCAGAACTGTCTTAAGCATGTTCACGTGTGTGTGGTTATACATACACTCACACCTATAAAGATGTCCTTGCTCCAAGAGAGCTGCTATAAGGGACCCTCAAGCCTGCAAGGAGGAGAGGACATCATATTTCTCAGATGGAGGCCCATTCTGCAGGTATGGTGATGGAAGTTTGTGAAGATTTATCTTGTGCTAAATATGAGTATAGAAACTAGGGCCTATTTATAGTCCAGAGACTTCTGAGAGAGTCCCTCTGGTTTAGCCCAAGCCTATGGGGCTTATGGAGACCCACATGGCGACGCATTTTTAACATCTACTGAAAGGTACTTTCCCTCATGAAGCCACCTCATGAAGGGAAAAGCTATTCCATCCCACCCTGTCCTTGCTCTTCAAAGTGCTCTACTTCAACTTGTAGTAAATACTTCCAGCTTTGTTTTCTAATTGTTTCCTATTATTTTTGGCCTCTTACTTTAATATCATAGAAGGCAGAAACCATTTCTTTTTGTCATTCTCCCACAAGGATGAGTGACAGGCTTGTCGTAATTGATCACTGAATAGTTATTATACCCAATATACACTTAGAGCTCAGGGTGAATATGGGATACCCATGGTGGTGAGAAGGGGTGGGGGCTGGGGGGTGGGGGGTGGGAGGAGACAGGTAGTCAGCATAGATAGTCAATGTTAGGGTAGGGAAGATGGGAGCTGATTATCAAAGAAAAGGAAATAGATTGCTAACACATCAGATCCCACTTCCAGCACAAGTGATTACCCCCTGGGCTGCTCCTTCCTGCCCTTAAGCATGCAGCGAAGAAAGAGAGGTGGAAAAGGAGAGGAAACCTGGAATCTATAAGAGAGACAAGACCACCCCTCCCGCAGGTACCCAGCTCTGGGTCCTGACTTCTCTCTGGAGAAGCCTGCTACCTCTATTCTCTTTC